GGTACTACTTACTTACTTACGTAACTAACTAACTACCAACGACCTACAACGAAACGAAGGTAGACTACTACTATATTACTAGTAGTCGTGTAGTAGATATATATATATATATATATATATATATATCTAAGGGAGAGTAGGCAATCCTCATGGATTTAAGGTTAGACCTATATTGAAGAACAAGATTAAATAAGAATCTGGAAGCCAATCCAAATGGTACTCTACTTCTTGGATTGCAATCTAAGCTCTACACAATATATTTGAGTCTGGACTGTGTGTGTGTGTGTGCGCGTGCATGCGTGCGTTTGTGTGTGTGTTTGTTTGTGTGTTTGTTTGTTTGTTTGTTTGTGTGTTTGTTTGTTTGTTTGTTTATTACCATAAAATGTCCTTATATGTCAAAAAATGACGTTTGATTATAACTAGTTTATGACTTTTAGGAACGATATTTTTGTAATTTCAAAATCCCTCCAAAAGTCAATTGTTAGAGAAATGTTGCTGCAAGGCTGGACATTATTTTCAAATATATCATGGTGAAACATTGTGCTTCTCTGATATATTTTGTAGTGTGAATACAGGTAGCTGGTGGCTGTTTCCGAAGCTTGGTTTGTTGGGACTTAGGGTGCGAGACTATCTTGGTGTGTATCCATTGGTTATAGCGAATAGTTTTTTTCAAGAGTAATGTACTTCTAATCACATTGATTGTAATCTATAAATATAGTGCAACTAAACCACTTTAATACTGCTCAGCACTCGGGGCCATCTTCTCCTCCACAGACACTGTCTGTTCTCTGCAGGTTGATAAATTATTAAATTGTATACAACTGTTTCTTAATGATTTATTGACAGTATCAATTATAATTTGTATTCAAATTTCATGTATTCGTTGTAGGTGTTGCCTGAAGATGTAACTCCAATATTACATAGCATGATATTTGGCGAAGGTGTTGTTAATGATGCAACTGCCGTGGTTCTCTTCAGATCTGTTCAAAAGATTGCTGTCTCTCATGTTGATGGAATCTCCGCTGTCCGTATTGCCAATGATTTTCTGTATCTTTTCTCTGCTAGTACAATACTTGGAATTTTTGTAAGTATATATTTGACATTGTCATAAGAAATATAAATGAACCATGACACTACCTTTTGTCTTCTTGCTGTATAGCCTCTCTATCTTCTCATTTTCCTGTAGCAAAATAAAATTCTGAATCATCGATACAATTTTCTTGATGATTTGCTTGTACTGGTGTGAAACAAAGTAATGCTATATATGACCAAAATTTTACATTATATTATGGCTACTTAGAGATTAATGCATTGCTGGAATTATATTAAATGTTGAGGTTTATGGTCTACATGTCTTTCTCAACAACTGCTTATTATTATAATGATGGACACTTAAAGATTTTTCGTCCACAGCTTTCCTCGTTCACATTACATTTATCCTTCATCTTGATTCTTGAGTTGATATTCCTTTTCAGACTGGGTTACTAACTGCTTATGCAATGAAAGTTTTGTACTTCGGCAGGTAACTGAATCTTTTTCTCTCAAACATTGTCATTGAGTACTGAAATTAAACTTTGTAAGTTTCTATTGGTTATGTATTTCATGGAAGTGCTCTAAAGATGTCTTTGTTCAAATAGGCACTCTACAGACCGTGAAATTTCCCTCATGGTTCTTATGGCTTATTTATCATATGTTCTGTCGGAGGTGAGATTGTCAGAAGTTTAGTCTTCTTTTCATTCCACTGGTGCCTATAATTCTCTTGGCTTTGTGCTTTATTCTTGTGTTTTTTGTGCAGTTTTTAGACCTCAGTGGAATCCTTACAATATTTTTCTGTGGAATCATTATGTCACACTATGCATGGCACAATGTCTCAGAAAGCTCTGGAATTACTACTAGGCAAGTAGATTTTTCTAATTACTCTGGAAAATACTCAGTTATATTGTATTCTTTTAGCATATTTCCTTGTTGCAGTAATTTAATCACTTATATTATCTAGAACAATACGATTTTTTACTCAGTACAGTCCATTGCACACTATATTGCTACAGATGCATGTGTTCTGTTGCATTGTTATCCTATAGTAGCAAAATTTGGAGGAAATAGTTCCCCAATGACTTGTCAAAGGAAACTCGGAAGCCTAGGATATCTTTCAGTAGTATGTATTCTAAGCAATATGCCATGTATTGAGAGAAACTAATGGACCTTTCATATTGTATTTTTCAGGCATGCATTTGCTACAATGTCATTTGTGGCGCAGACATTTATATTTCTTTATGTCGGAATGGATGCCTTGGATATTGAGAAATGGAAAATGACAAAGTCAAGGTGTGTGGCTATTTTCACCTCAGCAAATGGTTATTTATAACATTTATACTTAATACAAGTATCCCATCAAAATTCATAAATATAAAGCATGGCTTGTATTCTATAAATATATTGCATTCCTTGTATGATACAGAACTATATGACTCTAATAAATCGATACCTATATTGTAGTGTGTAATATATATAGTATTCATCTTACTTCTTTATTGTCCATCTTACATCTTTTACATTCATGCCATCTTATACCAACAAATATCCTGGTAGTATCCTATCAGTACCAGTGTAAAAATCATATGATACCAGCACATGAAGCATATACAAGTATCCTTGCATTGTAGAATGGCTTCAAATTTATTATGATTTATCTATCCCTATTTGGAAAGCTTGAAAAAACAACAGACTAAAAAAAGGTTGGTCAGCTTGGTTGGTTTTGGGAGTCGGGACAAACTTCAAGCGTTTGAACCCTTGACCTGCCTCACACGATATTCTCTTACCAAGGGCCAAAGAGGGGGGAGATGTGGATAATGTTTGATTTAATTAGGGCTAGAAGAGATGAAATATAATATTACAATAAGGGTATGGAGGACAAAATACTTTTATATGAAGAAACAATAAAATACATGAACACAGTTAACAATTTCAAAAACAAAAAACAATAAAATACATGAATATGACATATATGTGCATGAAATGAGTTAACTCTTACATTCCCCTCAAGCTAGAGAATGAATGCCAATTATTCTCATCTTCAGTATGAATAACTAGAATTGGTCTATCTTGTCAACGAATTGATTTTGTGACTTGCTAAACTGAGATTGACTGTACTATTCACAGAGACTCTCTTATTAGGGGACAGTTTGAAGCCAAAGTCTTTGGTGAAAAGGCCATTTGCATATATATACTTCGCGCGCACGTTTTTGTAGGTGAAAATTTTGTAAGTCAATGAGCTTATGCTATAGTAGAAGGTTAAAGCCTGAAGAACCCATGCTTAATTGTGTAAATGCAGCAGGGAGAACTATGGTGTATGCTATCTTGGGACAAACGATATATCTTAAGGACTAATAGCTCAATGATGGTTGGCATGCAAGGGTATGATATCTAAAACATGTCATACTCTATGATGAGACTAATAAATCTGTAATGACCTAAGTTTACTGTTTAAAGCCTAGTCCTTTTTGGTCTTTTCTCATTCTGCAGGAATGCTAGCCTTAATTGTATGTGTGTGATGTTTGAGGTTCCATTGTTTGGTCATGTGACACCTCAATTGGGCAAGCTCTAACTTTGCCACAAGTCCTCACAGAAGATTTCCACTTTAAAGCTTCCCCACTTGGCATTTCACCATAATTTTTGAGCGTGTAGTCTTATAAACAAGTTTCCATCTCATATGGATCCCTAGTTCGTACCTGGACATCTTTGGTGACGGGGTGTCGACGTTGGCAGCTGCATAAATGGAGTATATTTTGGTGTGACTGTGTAGAATTCCATAGTATAAATTAAAATTTTTTTCTTTTCCATAGTATAAATTAAAAAATTTTTCTTTTCTTTTCTTTAATTGATTGAATCTCTACTTAAAATTGCCACAAAACAACGCAGAAATAAAGTTACTACAATCTAGGATGTATAAATCTTATTGCCAAACAACAAAAAAAAATATATTTGATCTTGAACTTGAGCTTACAATTTAGGAAACAAATATTAATAAAAAAATGGCAAATAAAATAAATAAAATTGAGAAGACTTTTTAAAATTTTTTGCCTAGAGTTTCCCCCTTAGGACTTAGCACACCACATACTTGAGTACTTGACCGTTGGGGCACTTAATCCTTAGATCCTGACATCATGTTGAATCCACCAATTTGCAATGGGAAGCACCTCTAGAACTCCCTAACCTGAAATCTATGGGACTGAGAGTATGGGTCACAATTAAGGTTTCTAAAAGACCTTTTTTAATCCCTGGGGCATGCCACTGAGTGGCACTGCCCCTAACCTAGTCTCGGGCTGGGCCTGCCCCCTTACGCTCCATGTCTCTTAGATTGTACGTGCTAACCCAAAATATTTCCATTAATAAAAATTTGCTCCCACAAAAATGGGGGACATGAGCATCCCATTATATGGGGCGCATCGCTCATGTGAGCCCCACGTCACACACCATGTGGGCCTCACATGTGTGGGGCCGGGCCCATAGCCCACCATGTGGGTCCCACTATGTTTAATTAAAATTTAGAAAAAAACCCCCTCATAAAAAAATTCAAAAATAATGTTGAGGAGTTTTTTTATTCATTTAAAGATAATTTTAAAATTTTGAAAATATTCAAAAATCTCATAATCACATCTATAGTTGAAAAACAATATTTTTGGAGTCCTTAAAAATTTTAAACGCACAAAAATACCTTTAGAAGTGGATTGGTACCAACAAGTCAAGAGCAAGTGACTATCAGGGCATTCCACCTTTGCCATGATCCATGATCCACAACTGTCTTCTCAAACCAACCCAACGGGATCCATGACCTACAGTCATGTGCAGTAACTCATGATTGACCAGTCAATGTTGGTCAATAAACAATGGAACCCTAGTCATAGTATGTGGATTACAGGTTCCCCCTAAGAGCAAATTATCTGCACGTATTACTAGAGTGCAAGGGGGCTCTCTTTATGCACAAGTACACGTATCTCTCTATCGGGTTGCTTCCCAAAAAATGTGGATATCATATATACATGCCGTGTAGAAGTTTTGTTGAGGATTTGGCTCTTGCTTTCATAATCCTACATTTGCACATATGACCACAAAACTCTAAAGCTCGCCTGGCTTACAAAAAATGTCCTTGGGCATCTCTTCGACCTCAACAAGGGATGACCCTCCGTAAATCCTCCATGGTAGTGCCTATGCTTAAAAAAAGGGTTTTGGATATGACCTGACCGCCCAACCCTAGGTTGGTTAATCATCGCACACTTCTGCTGAAGTACACAATTCACTATCATTTATGATATGTACATGCTCTCACAGCCTTTAGAGGCCATGACCCCAACATGTCTCATTCTGCTATGTTATTAACCTAATGTTTTTGTACCTAGAATGCGGACGCCTTTGAGGATAATTCAAAACCCCAAAAACACTTCCTTGAGTTCAAAGAAGATTGTTATTATGGTTCACTGGATGAATTGTTTGGCCTACGAATCAATTTTGACAAAATCTTGTGTCGGCTGTACTTTGCTGAGCTAGTTTCCATCTAGTATGGCCTGTAGTTCCATAGTAAAGTTTGACAAGTGTATTTGTGGAATCTGTGAGGACATTGCTTGCTTCCAGTGATGTTGATAGCATACGAGTTCACTCTTGTTATAAAAAGGAGGAAAATTTTGGCTTAGCATGGGAAGAGAATCATACAATGCACCTTTTGTTTTCGAAAGTGCATATATATCACTATAAAAAATAGATTCTTATTATTTTTGGTTTTATCTGACTGCAGAATGTTTTTGGTTTTCTCTATGTTAAAAGGTTTTGTGAAGGTTGATCAGTTTTTTTTTAAAAACCATATACTATGCTCAACATATATGTTTTATCCATTTCTTTTTGCACAACTATATTGTGATTATTGTTATTATTATTATCACTATTATTATTACTATTGTTATTTTTCTGTTGTTTATGTTTGTCTCATTAGCAATTTGGATTGCATTGCATTTTAGTTTGAAGGTTAGTTTTACCTCGACACTAACCTTCCCAAACATACGTTTTCCTTGCAGCTTTTGGACATCCATCGGGATTTATTCCACAATAATATCATTGATTTTACTTGGACGAGCTGCTTTTGTGTTTCCTCTCTCAGCATTGTCAAACTATCTGATTGGAGATCCAGAAAACCCAGTGCTCACATTCAGATGCCAGGTTCTATTACATATTTTTCTGTTTTAGATGCTCAATCGACCAAATTCAGTGCCTTGCGTGTTTGCATACATGGATCACATGACTACACTAAATTGCATGCATGGATCACATGCATTCACTTTAGTGTAGGTTGTTGTAAATTTAATTACTCGTACTTGTGAAAAGTATGCTTTTTTTTTTTTTTATGTTCTGCCAAGATCGCTAACTGTTTGAGTTAACTGGCTCATTCTTTGAAGATATCAAATAACCCCATGAAGATATTAATTATTTATGGGTTATCGATCCTCATAAGATGTTTATTGTTCAGGAGTTATTACTTAAGAGAAAACATGAATTAACTCTACCTGGTAGTGCCTTTAGCACTATTGTTCAGATAAGAAATAACAGTTCAACCAACCCACCAAACACATAATCATGCATAGAACAGCCTGAACGCCACATGTTCTGCAGAAATCAGGGTTGGGCTTCAAACGTGCATAGGTTAAATAGACTACCTAAATAAACTACCTTAATATAAAGTTTGGCAAATAAAAGCTTATTTGAGAGACTGTTTGTTGAAATGCTGGGCTCACGTTTCATATGTGACATGGAAGTCAATGGACTAAGTTATTAAAGGAACACCATTGATGAAGCTGGCCATAATTTCAAAGCTTTATACTTCTGTGCTAGAGATTCCAACCTTTGAATATCACAGAGAATAGAATAGAACAGTTGTGATCATTGTTTAGTGAAGCCAGGATTTGTTTGCTTTCTTTTAACATATAGATTCAATGGACAAGTCAAAACAGATCCTATTTTGCTACTGGACTTGGAAGAACGATTAGCAGTACGTCTTAAGATTACTTGTGCAGAGACCAGAAGATGATAAGAAATTAATTTCTATCACATAATTAGACATATAAGAATCAATCAGACTGATGAACTTTGGATTGAGAGAAATTGATACTTGACAAGTTTGCTAAGCAATCAACAGCAAAATCTGCTCATTGCTGTCTCAGGTTTATTATCAAATAGGAGAAGCAATTTCTGTTAGAGAGAAATCTGCTATTACAATGAAAACAAGATTCTCCAAAAGGTTATGTTGAAAAGCCTAAAGGAGGTTCTGATATGTGGGAAAGTGGGAATATTGTTGAAAATAGCTTGAGGGGTCTTGACCAATTCAAGAAGTTAAAAGGCTCTTCAGTCTTCCATACACAGATCCAATTGATCTAAAACTTGGTCCCATTAATCAATTTTGGTACAAAGAGGTGGTCCCAAAAAGAAAAATAGAGTTTCTGACGTGCATAGCAGATATGTGAAGAGCACAATATATATTTGCTTTTAATCAAATGTTAGAATCTGATGGTGACAAAAATTGATGGTGTTCCCAAGCAGGTGAGGGCATCCCTAAGTATGTGTTCACAGAGAACAGCAGAGATCTGAAGTAAGCCGGGGTTATCCTTACCCCAAAAATATTGGATGAGAAGCACATAAGTAGTTTTCTATATTCTATTGCTCAAAACGTTGACCTTTGTTGGGCTTTCAAATACCCAAATGTGGCTCTAATACGATGCCGAGTGTTAGTGAGATTGAGTTTCAAGGAATGAGAAATTAAATCCATTGAACGAGTGCATTCCTGTAAAATGGCCAAAATACCCTTATAGGAGAGTACCAACATAACAACAGAGCAAGAAAAAAGCCACTACACATCGATACAACATACATGCTCTTGCAATATAGGGTTTCCTCCCTCATTTACTTTTATGTATACCTTTTTTGTTGGGTAGGTTCACAGTGGGATTCAAACCTGGTTTGTTGTGCTCCAATAGTGACGTAGTTGAAAATTACCGGTGAACAACACCAGGCAAACTAACTGCGTTTTAGAGAGAGAAATAATAATCGAGAAGGAAATTGCAAGCAGAAAGAGCAAATGTATGGATCCGAGTCGTCCGTTACGGGCCCACAGGCAGAAGAGAAAAAAAAACACCCACAAGAAGGGCCTCTCTCTATACAAAAAAAACTTTATTTCATTCCATAAAAATTAATTCCCTTTACAATGGGACGTCCATCCCTTTTTATCATTGTTTGTCTAACCTCCTTTCCTTATCTTTAGAAATCAAATATTTGTCTTCCTAAAGATTTGCTTGCTAAAAAAAACCTCTTATCCTACCTCCTATAAAGAACGTACTCATCTCTTATTTGCTTTTAAAATAAGATCTCAAGAAAAGGGATTCTAATAGTAAAGACTCTAATAAATGCCTACTAAAAAATAGGACTTAACTTTTTCCTAAGAAAATATGGACTCCTAAGGAAAGTATGGACCTACCATCTAAGAAAAGATAACAACTCATTTAACTTAAAAAGAAAACGGACTTAATTTTCCTATCTCTAAAAACGTACTTCCTAAAATTTAGACTTAATCAAACTAAAAAAAAAAAAATCCCTATTAATCCTATTTTATTTCTAACAGTTGATCCTAATAAAATAAATAAAAGTCTCTCACATCTCTAAAAATAAAATTTAAATTTGTAGCAACTATATCTTGATCTGCATCATTGTCCCCTAGTTGGAGAAAACTCGTCCTCGAGTCTTAAAATGTGCTAGGATGAAATTTGTATTAGTCTTGCGCCCTTCTTCAACCAGAATATTATAAACACGATCCTGAGACCTGTGGGTTACTTCACTGATCAAAACACAACAATTGTGCATTGAAAGTAAGCCCTCAAGGAAATTGTCGTTGTACATCAATAGATTATTTTGAGCCACATAAACTTGTTGAAATTACTCAAATTTAACCTTAAGACACACAACGTGTGCATCTTTTTCTTCGTCAAGTAATCTCCAAAGGTTTGAGCTTCTATAGATTCCCTATCTCTCCATTGATGAGAAAACTAGATATCCTTGTTGCCTCAAGGATAATTTCTCTCCATTCATCTTGCTCTTCATCAAATATAGGACCTTCATCAAAGATGAGATCATTTTGGAATGCTAGTTCCAATTGAAGATCTAAACCTATTGGTTCTTCATCAAATTTAACTAGATTACTCTCCCGACTATGAGGCTCCTGACGCAAAGCGTGTACATGAAATAGGTTCTCGAAAGCAGCTTCTGACTCACTACCGTCATCATAGTGTGTCGTGGCTAGATTTTGCCCCAAGCGCAGGATCAGCTCCTCTACTTGGCTTCTCAAAATTTTGATTTTAAGATATCTGATTTTGATCTCAAGATCTCGGAGATCTCCGACGTCTCACTCTCGTTGGATGGAGTTATTCCGGGTACCCGGCCACGATCTACACAAATCGACTGATGCTCTGATACCACTGACGTAGTTGAAAATTACCGGCATCAATACCCAGCAAAATAACTGCGTTTTAGAGAAAAATAGAAATCGTGAAGGAAATCGCAAGAGGAAGGAACAAACATGCGGATCCGAGTCATCCGCAACGGGCCCACAAGCACAAGAGAAGAAAAAACACCCACAAGAAGGGCATCTCTCTCTACAAACGAAATTTATTTCATTTCATAAAAATTCATTCTCCTTACAATAGGACGTCCATCCCCTTATATTATTGTTTCTCTAACCTCCTTTCTTTATCTTTCTAAAATAAACCTTTAGTTTCGTAAAGATTTGATTGCTAAAAGAAAACCTCTTATCCTACCTCCTATAAAAAATGTACTCATCTCTAGTGTGCTTTTAAAACAAGATTCCAAAAGACAAGACGCTCATAGTAAGGACTGTAATAAAAATTCCTACAAAAAAATAGGACTCAACTTTTTCCTAAGAAAATATGGATTCCTAAGGAAAGTACGACCTACCATCTAAGAAAAAATAACAACTCATTTAAGTTAAAAAGAAAACGCACTTAATTTTCCTATCTCTAAAGGCATACTTCCTAAAATGTAGACTTTATCAAACAAAAAAAAAACAAATCCCTATTAATCTATTTCTAAAAATTCTAATAAAATAAATAAAAAATCTACCCGCATCTCGAAAAATAAAATTAATAAATTTTGTAGCAAACAGACTTAATTTTTCTATCTCTAAAAACGTACTTCTTAAAATGTAGACTTTATCAAACTAAACAAAAAAAAATCCCTATTAATCTATTTCTAAAAATTATAATAAAATAAATAAAAAATCTACCCACATCTCTAAAAATAAAATTAAAATTTTTTAGCAAGCAGATATTGATCTGCATCAAATACTTAACACTAATCATCAATTCAGGTGCGTGATTCCAAACTTCCATCTATTCTAGCTTGTATACAAAAGCGAGTACTTTCAGCATCTGCTTTATTATTCAGCTACTAATGAAGTAGTCACCCTATATTCCTTGAACTTGCATATTTGACGAGCATTAGTTGCCTTCTTACCCTGCTTGAGGATAGCCTAAAGGATTACTTTCAATTCCATTGGAATCTAAACATATATGTAAATGGAATCGTAATAATAACAAAAGTATTATATTACCATATATGTACATTGACTTGTTGACTTGCTTTAGTAGAAGCTACGAATTCCCACTTTGGAGAGCCTACAAATGGATTTTTATACAAGCATTAGGTGCTGGTTACCTCATGTTGTTCAACATGCTGTAAATGTCCCAAGTCAATGGACTTCAGTGAGTTAAATGACTAATTGAATTGATTCTGTCCAGCTGCTTGAGACTTGGACTATTTAATTAAGAAGGGTCCCACTAACATGGCCTGCTTCATTGATGTGTCAAGTTGGTGTAATTGCTCAAACAAACTTCCTGATTCTCTGAACCTTGGATTCGTTAAACAAGTTCACTTGCAGGAGAATCCATAATCCTGTGCAATATAATTCATGTGGCCTAAAAATCAGGTGGTTGTTTCGTTCGCTTGGAGTCTATTCATGATTATGATTTTATTCAGAAGTGAACAGGACAATACTTCCAAGTCTAAGGAAATTCAGTGCCTGACAGGAGAAGCTTTACCGTCACCACACTGCTCTGTGCGGGGGATCCATTTTTTTTTTGTTCATAATTTATTTTTCTTCATTGATTATCTATCAACTGTTTCATATCTCTTATCGGCCCTTCTCAAAATGGTTGACTAGGTTCCTTTCTTTGTGCTTCCCACCAAACTTGTTAAAAACCCCAGGTGTTTTTTTATTCTCTGTGTTTTTAAATCTTAATTCTTACTTAATGTCTAATTACAATGGTCTTTTGAGCTGTCAGGATTTTGAGTTCATTTTACATGTTTTGCAGCTTGTGCTGTGGTTATGTGGTCTAATGAGAGGAGCTGTGTCAATAGCTTTGACTTTCAATCAGGTAAATGGGACATCTATGTCACTTTCTGGGTTTAAAGAGGCAATTGGTTCGTTATAGGAGACAATAAGAACTACTTTTTAAATTTTGTTTGGTTTGATCTCTTAAAAGATTTCCTGTGTTTCCAGTTCACTCTTTCTGGTGTTACGCGGAACCCACTTCATGCAACAATGATAACCAGCACCATAATTGTTGTACTCTTCACTACTGTGGTATCTCTCCCTTACCTTGCAAGCGCTCACTCTGTATTTTGGTGAATGCCTTGCATTTGCATAATGGAACCAAAATTGGTAAAATATGGATTTTTTGGAGGACCCTGGACAGTCCAGTCTATTGAGCAGCTCATGTCTCAGTAAACAGGAATGATTTTTGAGTCACCGGTCTCTAAAATCATGCCTCTTTAAGATATTAGAATTAGTCAATACTCGTCATGTGACATCAAACATTCTTGGACAGACATGCACACATGCTTTCTTAGTTTAGGGAGTGGAATCAATTTTGTTTTCTGCAAATTGGTTTTTACGGAATTGACAATGGGCCCTTTTTGATTTTCAGGTGTTTAGTTTTCTAGCGAAGTCAATTATAAGCTTTTTGGTACCATGCTATGTTCAGTTGAGTGAACCATCATCTCCAAAACCAGTAAACACCCCTAGAAGCAGCCTTACATCTCTCTTGGAAAGGCGTGCAAATGGTATACACTTATTTTGGAGGAGATTTGATAATTCATACATGAGACCTGTATTTGGTGGTCAAATATGAAATTTAATATGCTTTAGAAAAGTGTTTAAGCTATTTGATTTTTTTGAAAGTGCTGGTGAACAAATGAATGGGTGTGGTTGATTTGTGTTGTGCCTGAAATGTTCACATAGAGTTGTCTTCACCAGTTATCTTCACTGATCTGTCGAGCTCGAGTGTACCATAATTGTGAATAACCTAAAGGGTGCGGTTTGTATAAGATTGATGCCCTAAGCAATTAAAGTAAGGCATACCTTCAAATAATGTCGAAATATGTCGTTTTAGTATTAAAAATCTGTCGTGGCCTGAAAATTTATTTTCATTTGTAATTATAATATTTGAAGATTAAAAATAGTGTAAATCGAGCAAATCTATGAACACTTGAAAACCTTGAAAATTGACGGTCTAGATTACATTATAAAATGCTCTATTCTTGAAACTTGAAATTTATTTTTTCTTATGTTTATACATCTTGAGGTTAAGATGATCGAATTGAGGGTCATTTAGTATCGAAACCACTGTTGTCTTGATTATTGATGCTCTATTTTTGCGACTTGAAATTTATTTTTTCTTATGTCCATAGATCTTGAGGTTAAGATGATTGAATTGAGGGTCTTTTAGTATCGAAACTACCTCTTCTCTTGAATTTTGAGGTGTGCCTTATTTACGGTATTACCCTTATATGAAGTTATTGTTTTATTGAAGATAGGGGAAAGTTGTTTTTTTGTTGAAAATCTCGAGCTTTTCCCACCTACTATTGTCTTAAAATGGCACATGGGTTTTGACCCCTGATAGTGGCACTTTTTGTGAATAATGGAAATGACATCGCTTTATTCTTTTCAAAACAAGGAAAAGCTTAGCTATCATGGTGAACTTGTGTGATAAGAGACTTAATTAGTCCACTTCTTATACTTACATGATGCTACCATCGATCATAAAAACATTGATTAGGTTAGGCCAGTTTCCATCATTGGGAAAATGTACCATAGCCGAAATGTGTTTTTTTTTCTCTAATTTTTTGGCTAGGTTTTTAGATGACGGGTCTTTCCATAAATAAGGAAAATATCTAGAACAAAGTATGAGATATATATATATTAAAAAAAGCACATTGCCCAACATGTCCGAAATCCTTGGTCAAACAAACAAAAAATGGAGAAGTGTTGTTTTGACTGATTTTTTGGCAAATCCCCGTTGGACCATTTTGTAAGGACGGTCGAAAGTTTGGCTAGTCTTGCTGGCTATGTTGAGTCTTAGTAAGCTGTGGATAGTACGTTACGGATGGAACTAGGTTCTATGTGATATGTTTGGGTTTTAGCTTGGAAAATGTTTTGATAGGGCTGCAGTGCTATCATAATAAGTAAAGCTTCACTTTAAAACGACAAAAAATTGTAGTATTGTGATTAGAAAACTTTTAAATCAATAATCTCCACTTTGACCATTATGACTGTGAAAAAAGTTAGGATTTCAAGCTCTAAAAATAGTGCATTTTGTAACACATCGTCTAGACTATCCATTTCACCTTAAAAATAAGTGTTCATGGATCTACATGATCTATATTATTTTTTGAGCTTCAAATTTCATAGTTGGTGTTGGAAATTGATTTTAGGGCCATCATGGAGATTTTCAATGCCTCATGTACTTTCTAGACTAGAATTCATGGTAAGATTGAATTTTGTTTTTATAAAGCCTAGGTCTTATAGAAACTAATGCATCTTTTTAACTTAGGATGTGGTTTTCATAAGGTTGCAACCTTAAACATTCCAATTAAGGGGCACCTCTAAAATTTACCATAAATGTAATTATGATATAAAAAATTCTTAGGACGGCTTGAGAATTTATTTTCATATCTAATTATAAACTTTTAAACTCTAAAAATGGCTCAAATCAAGAAGATCCAAAAACACATGAAAATCTTGAAAATGGACGGTTCAATAATGTGTTGCAAGATACACTATTTTGCAGACTCGAAATCTTTTTTTCTTTTCATATTTATACATTTCGATGTCAAGATATTCAATAGGAAGGTTTTTCATTATCCAAACAACCTTTTATAATGGATTTTTTAGATGCATCTTTGATTCTACATTTTTAAGGTTGCAACCTTATAGATGTGCGTAGGAGTCATAACAGAGCTCTGATTACCTTCAACTAGGCCAGAATATGGAAACGTAGTTTGTGGGTTTGGCCACACACATATTTAGAGAAATTTTTTTGAGAGAAAATGAAACTACGTCAAAATTTTAACGAAAAGTATAAAATATCTTTCTCTCATGTATGCGGGGTAAGGATTCACATTGTCTCTCAAACTTTATTTCTTATGGGAAAATTAATGAATTTAAACTAAACAACTCTAGTGGCAGTAAAGTTTTATATTTGTGTGTGGAGGCGGCCTTATAGAAAAAGTAAGGCCTCACGTTCAAACATTACTTGAACGTGTTGTTCTGGCACTGAAAAACCCTTATGTGACCTGAAAAATATATTTTTCACAATTAATTATGAGATTCAAAACTCCAAAATGTATAAGAACATTGAAAATGGTTGGTCCAAAAACGTTGCTACAAGATGCGCCATTTTTAGGGTTTGAATTTTTTTTTTCTTTTTCTTCTCCATTATTGTCGAGGTTGAGATAATTAATTTGAGGTTTTTTTTGACACCACAACAAATTTTTTTTGTGCCTCCCTCATCACAAAAGAAGTTGATGTCGAGCCATTTTTTAAGGGATTGTCTACAAATAGACCATTTATCTTTTATACAAAGTAGTCACAATCACTCTTATCATTTACATTTCAAAATGGGTGGTTGTAAGAGTGATATTGAATAGACATAAAGCTCCAAAAGTATTATCAAACTTCGTAACAGACCCTAAACCATCCAATTTGACATCTAATGGATGTGAATAGTTGTAACCTTTTCATACAAAAGCTAAAGTCTCTATGTAGACAATCCCTTTTTTTAAACCCATTTATGCAAGACCCTTATGAGCATATGCTCATTAAAAAAACTTTTAACAAAAAAAAAAACCTAAAATGTGGTTTTCGAAGAAGAGAGAAAATTTGACTAATTCCAGTTGTTTTTTTATGATGCCTATTTGATTAGAAGCACTTAAAGTCATTTTGTGAAATTGTTTATCTAGTGTTTTTAAGGTCATTCCCAAAGTTTGGGGTCCCTAGGGAGCATACTATACATTTACTCCCTCATACAAAATCCTAACTCGGGAGTTTTTTTATTTGAAATTTCACATCCATCTAATTCTAACCTGATCATTGTTTTCAACAAAAAAGATTTGGATTTTGAGTTCTTGAGCATCTAGATTATTACTTCCAAAAATTGGTTGGTTCGACTGTGATCTTTGAATGCCAATTGATCATTTCATACTATTAGTTAGGTGCACCTCAAAAGTCCTATAGAAGTTAGTGTTATGACATTGGAGAATCTTTCAGTTGATCATGTCGATCTCGAGATGTATGGATGTGAGGACAAGAAAGAATTCTAAATTTAAAATATAACTTATTTTGTAACAAATTATCTGCTTTGTCCTTTTTCAAGATTTCGAATTATTTATTGATTTGCTTGATCTGAGAATTTTTGAAATTCAAATTTTTATAACTAGACATGAAAATAGATTATCTAGCCTTCATAAGTTTTCGACACCAAAAGGCCATCTAAGCAAATTTCAGTACTTCTAACTTATAAGAAGGCAACTTTACACACACACGGGTAGTGATTTCATGCAACGATTGTATCATAGTATAATACAACGACACTTCTAGAAACCCATGTTTGTGGTATTTGTATGATCCAAAATTTTGCACATACACTCTCTTCATCTCAATAACCAATCCCTAAAAAAAAAAAGTTCAATTTGAACCTTAGATATGGTCAAAATGAGTCCCCTACAAAAACAAATCTAGACCATTCATTTGGTGAATTTCAAGATCTTAGCCTTTATGAACTCAAAATTATTTTTTTCTTTTTTAATATTATTCATCTAATGATAATAAAACCATCCAAAAAAATTGGAAATGAAAAAAATTCTTCTAAGGCCTAGATCTAAGAATCTCACCGAAATGAACGGCCCATGTTAATTGGGCTAAAAAAAATGCTTTCTAGGTTGTTTTTTCAAATTCTTCTTTATTTTTATTGTTCATTAGAATGAAAAGAGTGTAAATTTCAAAATTTGGATCAAATAAATGACCATAACATGATTTTTAAGATTGTTGTATCATATCACTATACAACAATTGCATGAAATCATTG